CTTTTACTGCAGTGTTTTTTTCAGATTGGGTTGACTCCCTATGTTTCTGTAATTGCTTCTCTCCTCAGATGCTATGAGTTCCGACAATTCTTTTTTTATTTCAGAAAAGGATTGCTCTCTGAGTTCCTCTATACCTTTCTGCTCTTGCTTATTTACTATAGCCACCATTAATTCATGCATTTGTGCCAAGCTAGTGTCCTCTCCACTTGTTCTGAGTTGGCCTTGAGTTTCTTCCATATGTTTCTGCATTTGATTCTTTAGTGCAGATTTTATTAATTCAGAGATTACTTTTTTTATTTCCAATCTGAGTTCCTCTATACCTTTCTGCAGCTGTTTCTTTATTTCAGAAGCTGTTGATTCATTGCTTTCAGCTGTGTGATTCCTAATTTGTTGTGTGTTAGCGTACTCTGCACTTGTTATGGGTGGGCTTGGGGTCAGTTGAATCGTTTTCTTCATCTCAATTGAATTAATTTCTGCTCTAATCTTTATGATTTCTTCTGAGATTGCATTTTGTTTCTTCTCATCATTTTGTGTAGCAACATCTTCTGACCTTTTTGTAGAGCTTTGTTGCAGTTATAACGTTAGTACCTACTGAAGTTTAGGTGCAGATCTAGAAAGTTTGGGTTTATCTAGCTGTGCCTGGCTTGAGTCTGGCTCCTGTGCTCAGCCCCTTCCTGCTGCTGCCCTTGAGGGTGAACCTGTTGTGCTCCTCTGGCAAGATGTTCTGCTCCTGGTTTAGCTGGGTGGTTCTGTCCCCTACTCTCTCTACAGGGATTGTAGCTACAGGGTTTCACCCCAAGTCTCTATGCCAGGCTTGAGCTGAGTCTGGAGGGGATAAGGTGGCATAGGAGGAAGAGGCAGGTCTCCCATCTACTCACTGGGCCTGGGTTAGACTGGATCTGAGGGTTCCCGGAACGTGGCAAAAATTCCTACTCAGCGGCCAGGTGTGGGTGGGTACTATGAAGTGATGGGGGGCGCCCCAAGGGGGTGGCAGAGGGTTTCACCCACACTGCACCTGGGCTGGGAGCTGGCTCAGTGCAGCTGGAACCTCTCCCACACACTCACCAGGCCTGGGCTAGGACTGGGTCTCTATTTATCTGCTGATGAACATATAGTTTGTTTCTTGGATTAAAATATTATAATTTGTGATATTATAATCTTTGATATAGATATATAATTGTAATATGATATAGTTAGCTTTGGGGGAATTTACCTAGAAGAGGATTAACTGGGTCCCACATGGAATTTTTATTTTAAGTTGTTTAAATATCCCCGTACTTATTTCCTTAATTGTTGTACCAGTTTACATTATCTCTAGCAGTTTAGGTTGCATTGTTCTCCCTGACTCTTGAACATTTATTATTTGATTTCTTTGTTAATTACCATTCTTTCTGTTTTAAGACAAAATGTAAGAGTTATTTTAATTTAAATTTCTCTAATGGCCAGAGACATTGAACATTTTTGCATATATTTATTAGCCATTTGTACTTCTGTGAAGTGTCTATCCATTTCACTGGCCCATATGTTGATTAGGTCTTTCATTTTTTTTTCTTTTGAGTTCTTTATGTATTCTGGATATTAATCTTCCCTCTGATTAAGGAATATCTGACATTTTTTTGCCTATTCTATAGGTATTCTTTTCACACCATTATCTCCTTTGTTGTACAGGAGAATTTTGATTTCATATAATCCCATTTATTTATGTATTTACTCATTTTTACTGTTATTTCTTGTGCAATTGGAGTTCTCTTCAAAATGTTCTTGCTTACATTTGCATTTTGTCTTCCATTTATTGAAGAGCCTATTTTTCCTGTAGCATATATTTATTTTTGGCTCCTTTGTCAAAGATCAAATAGGTGATTGGCCTTACTTGTTTCTGAATCCCTTGTTTGGTTAATAATTTTTATGTCTTCTTGGTTTAGTTTTGGTAATTCATAATCTGCCTATTTCTTCAAGATTTTCCAATGTGTTAGAATATAAATTTCTTAGTAGCTATTACCTTCTGGATATCAACTTTTTCATTTTAAATTGCTTTCATGTTTTCCCCTTTCTTTTGATAAATTTGGCAAGTTTGTCAGGATCTGTCAATTTATTTTTGTAGCTGCGAGGTAGCCAAGAGGTAAGGGAATGCAGGGTGCAGGTAAAAATAAGAAGAGAAACT